AACACAATGCAAAGTGTGCTAAAGGTACTTCACCAAAAGAAAAGTTCTGTTTTCTGAGTCTACACCGCAAGGTTTCATTCAGATTGACACTGTGAAATTGTTTAAAGTACTTTCTGTATTACTGTGAATTATTTTTAATATTGCATGTTAGTTTATATTGTGTATCCCGTAGATTGCATTCTTCATCACACGACTGTAGAGATTTTTTTTTTACCATAATTGCATTTGTGTATACAATGAATTGCCAACATCCTGTTCCTCTCCTCAAGCGCGGGGCCCGGTGCGGCCGCACCAACTGCACCCCCTTAAGGACGGCCCTGCTTATGAGATGTCATATTTAGATAAAAAGTTGAAATTATGACATAAGTGTAATCAAATAATTGTGATATAAAACATTAAAAACATAATGACTATATGGCATTAATATGGTTTAAGTATGACTTTATTATGTTGCAGAAAAGGCAAAATGCCCAAAAATATTAAAAAGTGAAAGCTATATAGTAAATGATTTTTTTAATGAGAAAATTATTCTCATGTAGAAAAAATAAAGGCAAATATCAAAATGCAGAAGTTAAATACTATAAGATAAGACATGAGTGAAGCATGTAAATATGCTGTAGGCTGGCATGGATTGCTTTTCCCCAGCATGAGGGGGATGGGAGCAGAAGTTTTTGTTATTTGTGTGTGTGTGTGTGTGTGTGTGCACCCCTCCTTGTGCATACCAGAGTCTGGGGAAAAAAAACGGATTCTTGTGAAAGTGAAAGACAATTTAGGACCACTATCTCAGGTCTCCGTCCGATGAGCAGATGAGTTTTGACTAAATTTCTCGCGCTCTGTTTTTGCTGTAAACTGGGGGAAGCGGGGGCAAGCTACTGGGCTCAAGGGGGACGGAGCGCGCAGCCCCAGGGATCAAATTACAGTCCCAGTCCCAGACTTTTCAAGGCAACATTTTTTTTTCCTCCATCACAAAAGTGGGGGATGGTGAACGCTATTTGGTTTCTTCAAACTTTTTAAAGTAACGAAAAACTGAGCTGGGGTAAACTTTGTGCTGGAATTTAAAACGTAACTTTTGTTTACAACTTTTACGCACCGCATTTGTACGATGACGAGATTTTCAATAGTATGTGAGAGAGAAAGGAGGCATAAAAACTTTGGAATCGGAAGACGTTTCTTTTAAAATCTGAAATGTCGAATCAGGAATCTAGGAAATATCCACACTTTGACTTGGTTTGAAACCTTCAAGCGCATCGCGCACGAGTGGAGATCGACAGTTTATTTGAAACATTTGATGAAACATCGCTACATTGTTGGGTCTCCAAGATGTCCTCCAAGCGCCTCTGCTCCATTGTTGGAGGCTTTTGGATGCTTTGGATCTGGGCAGCAACCTCTATAATCGCTCAGGCGGTTATCTTGCAACCAAATGAAACGGTATTCAACGACTTTTGCAAGAAATCGACAACTTGTGAAGTACTAAAATACAATACGTGCCTTGGTTCACCTTTGCCGTACACGCACACATCTCTGATTCTGGCTGAAGACTCAGAAACTCAAGAGGAAGCCTTGGAGAAATTGGCCATGTGGTCTGGTAAGTTACTATTTTATTATGTAATACAAAATTATTATTATTATTGTTTTTGTATGTTCTCCTTTAGAGACAATTAAATTATTTTAGTTACTGTAAGCCTGAATAAAATCATTTTAATTATTAACGTTTTTTGATTGTATGTCAGTTTTGTATTGCTGAATACATTATGTTTCCAATGCAATTTACATGCAAATTGGTTGGAGTAAAATAAATGTTTTGCAGAACATAAAAAAAATTAACTTTTCGCCCTAATGATTTTGGCGTTAATATTAATCAAAGGTAATTATTATAAAGTATTATATGACAAAATACAGTTTTACATTACTTTTGTGTTAGTTATTAATGCCATCATGTTCTTAATTTTCACAACAGCACCATAATGACCAATTCTCCTCCTTTCTCTCACATTCACACCTTATTCCCAAAGTTTCTTGTATTGTTCCTGAAAGTCCATTGCCCATGGGCAGTTTCCTATAAATATGAAAAAGAAAACTACTGTACCAAGTCTTTAAATAGCCACTGGATGTAGTTGAACGTTATAATCTGATTTAATTCTGTAAATGTTATTTTGACAAACTATCAGGACATTAACCAGACAGCCAGTGAGAATTAGACACTATTTTCTCAGATAATTAAAGGGGTCATATGATGCAATTTCAATTTTTCCTTTCTCTTTGGAGTGTTACAAGCTCTTGGTGCATAAGGAAGATCTGTAAAGTTGCAAAGACTAAAGTCTCAAATCCAAAGAGATATTCTTTATAAAAGTTAAGAGTCAACCACGTCTACCTAAAACGGCTCGTTCTAACACGCCCCCACATGTCTACGTCACGATGTGGGAAGATTTGCCCAAAGGTTCACGCAAAGAAAGGTGGCGTAACTTTTATTCTCGCTGTAGTATTGTATGTGTAGTGTAGTATGTCGTGAAGACGCTGTGTTTCGTTGTGAAAGAGAAACTACTTTGTTTTGCCTTCCAAAAGAGGACGATATCTGCTTCGTCATGCCTAGAGCTGATCCGTGCTGGTCGCTGAGGAAATACATCAACTTTGCGCTGTGGATCGACGGATCGGCTTTCACCATGGACGAAGCAGAGTCCAGCCCGGGGTCGTCACATGTGGTTGCCGCAAGCCCGCCGGACGCTCCTTCGTCGAATCCGCCGGCTGCCGCTCACTCTAGCCCCACCGGCCTGAAAGCGAAACTAGTGCTGGGCGGTATACTGGTTCATACCAAATACCGGTGTTTATTTTTATTATGATATGAATTTTTAAAATACCACAATACCGGTATGTCGCTTAAACAACGTTCGGAACGCGACACTGTTTGAAAGGGGTCCCTTTTCACTGTTGCACTGTGGTGAGGGAACAGCTGTATGTGTTACTAAGCGT